ATACCATGTTAAGTATAGAAATTTTCAAAGTCCCACAAAAAATTTTTCCGGGCAAAACTTAATGTAAACTGCACACCGTTGGAAAGGCTATTAATAGAGGATTCACTCTGTGCTAGTTTCATTTTTTCAAGGGACATGGTTTAGCCACAGTAGCTCCGTAAACTTTCGCTTTATCAACCTCATTTATGGCATAGTATAAAAAAAGTTTTGGTTTCAAATATTAGTTAATTAGTTTTTTTTAAAATCATGTTTTGTTTATAATAATTTGCAAAAAATTTCTCGAAAAGTTCTGTTTTACTTGTATTTTCAGTTAAATCCCCCCTTCGTTTAACAGAATTCTGTTAACGGCTTTACAGAGCTCTGTAAAAAATTTTAGTTTGTGTCTTTGCTAGCTATATTCAAATATAACTTCACACCCTTAAAATGACACATATGTGGTCCACATGTAGCATTCTCGCCTGACCAAACGCAGTCCGCATAATGTTCAGCATATTCATTTTTATTTAGCTTGAAATTGTTTACATATTCCAGACATGATTGAATTCTGATGACTTTTTTTTTATCTTCATCGGAAACAATATTCGAAAATGTCTTTAAAATGGTGCATATTGTTGGTTATCATATTTTCTATTGTGAGTCTCTTACTGTATACTCAGCATTGCATGTATGCTTGTAAATAATCGTTGATATCAATAGTTCGAACATGTATATCGTTTTTAGATCGATCGACAAGTAGACTCGCTTCATATTAATTTTCTCTTTCATTAAAGTTTGAATTTTCACTTTCAGTTCCACCACCATCACCACCAAAATTGGAAGGTGAATCATTAAATTCAAAACAATAGATAGTAAGTTTACGATATACGTAATTACTGTGGTAACTACATTTGAGTCTAATTTTACAATTTTCGTACTTTAAATTGAAATAGGGGTGGAATACTATTGCGCTTTTAATAATACATCCAATGTTTTTTTTTTTTTTTTCCATTAAATTCTTTTTAAAAGTTTCAATTACATCATTTAAGGTAAATAGTTCATAATCACCATGTCTTGTTTGTCTATTACATGGTTTTAAGGTTATTGTTGTTGTTGTTCTTAAAATTTTACCTTCCGACAATTGGCTTAGCAACTAAATTGTTCAACAAATGTACTATTGTACGCGTTGTATCGTTTGCAAGTCTTAGTCGAAAATTTAAATATTAACTTATATCACCATTGAATACAGCAATTCTATTATCATAAAGTTGATTAAAATAGGAAAGAGCATAACGAGGTAGTGCCTTATGAACATTGATGAAAATTAGAAGTGCGTGTAGCGTTGAGATAATTTTCATATTGCTTTATTCTTTTTTGAAGTTTTCGTGAAAACTAACCATTACATCCTTACATCATTTTTATTTTATACGTTTGAGTACAATCTTTTAGATCAACTCCCTCGAATGCCCTGTAACATTCACGATAAATCTAGTGCGTGAACCTTCTCACTTCCACCATTGATTAATATTCTCTTTTGTTCAAATTCACGATATTCGAAGCAATTTATTTTCTGTTGTCTTTTCTCATACATACTTTCATAAGCACAACGAATAGGTATACCAGCATTTTCATATTTGAGACTAAAATGTCTATCAAATGCTTCCTCACCTCTTAGTGTACCGCCTACATTCATTCCTGAATTGATTAACAATTTACGAAATGCCTCCATATAGCATGATCCACTAAAATATGTGTTAATGGTGTGTCTTCGGTTGTCGTTGTTGTTCTTGTTGTCGTGTTACTGATGTTTCAAAAGGTGGTAAAAAAGTTGTACTGAGTGTTAACGTTGCAGCATTACCTTCGTCTTTTAATAGATAATAGTTATCTTTCGCTTCCAATGTTTCACTTACTTTCATCAAAACAAATGATGTATTCATTTTCAGAACATCATCGTTGCGTGGAGCTAAATTGAACTCTACAAATTTTGAATTCGAGTCTGCACGAAGAGTAGTAATAACAAACGATATAGGATTACCAATCAATATTTTTAGTATAAGAAGAAAAAATATATATTTAGTTTCATTATAATATCCCGTTTTACAAACATGTACTGCTGTGTTTAAAAAGATATAATGATTAGCAAACAAATGATATATCTAAATATGTATGGAGAGAAAAGATCATTTTCTGTATATAAGTTAAATAAGTAATTTATTATCTTTTTTTTTTTATAAAATTTGATTTATAAAAGCAATTTATTTAACACATTTATTATTTTTCGTGCTTTATTGATTGATGTTGGTAAAAGACTAATTTAGTTCTTACAAACTATCTCACAAGAAATCTATGTTTTATCCACTAATTGACAGTCAGCATTTTCGTTCATTCAATAATGATGTTTATGACAGGATGCAATAGGAGAATGGTGAGAAATGCTTCTGGTAGTATACAATAGGAGAATGGTGAGAAGTGTTGTGTTTGCTTATTTTATTTATTAGGGTGGTTTGTAACTTATGCTTTTGCTGATTGTCCTCAATCGAAATTAGAAATACGGAATGTCATTGAACTTGAATGGGGTTTGCGAACTTTTTGTTTCTCAGTTCTCAAAGGTATGTCGTCGGTTCGGACTTGCTCCATTCCTGGGTTATTCATCATTGTTTTATTGTTACTTCTACTTTTAAAGGCTAGGATTACGATCATTATTATGGTCCCGATTACGAATCCCCAAGCTGAGTATTGATGGAACTCTGTCTGTAAGTATGATATTAGTCTGGTACTGTTGATTTAAAGCTCGTCTAGCATGTGCAGAGAGACGAGTCGTTTGTGCTCCTTTTCTTGAGGCATTTACTGAAGTATGGAAGGTAATGCCTTGTAGGTGGGCACCTCTTTAGACTCGTAGGTCTTTCCGTTAACACGAATCGTAACGTTATGGAACCTTATTAAGAGAGTTCCGTTGAGGAATGGTTGTTCAGTTTTTACCTCGACGGTACCGGAAAACCCGTTTAATAAAATTACCCCGGAGATATTTCATCTATAATTGAAAAGTGCTGACCGCTTATAATATTGCAAGTGGGTTTCTTACTATTTAACAAGTTTGGAATACAAAAGGAATTCGTTATGTTAATAAGTTCTTGCCTTTTACAAACAAACAGATGTTAATACGATTTGCATTTATTTAGTATCGTAAATATCTCGTCTTTTGACTTTATGGTGGTCTCTGATTGAAGATCAGTTGCCATGTTATCATTCCTTTTTACGGCTTTTATGAGAACACTTTCGTACACGTGTTCACTGGTTATTGGAATATTGATAATATAGAGAATTGAGATGGAATTAGTCAATATTTTTATTTCGGATAGGTTTAATGCCACTTCCATTTTTTTTAATGGTATTTTTTCTCTATTTATTACTCCTATTGATAACTGCATTTCCTCTTCATATAAAATAAGCGACTTTATGATTCCGGCCCTGGCCCAATGTATGACGTGATTTATGTTCTCCAGTTCCTCTTTAAGTATTTTTATTTGGTATTGAGTATTGGAAATTAATTTTTCTTTATTGTTATTTTTCCCAGATTTAAATTGTTGTAGCAAGATATTAGTGATCTTGGTAATATTGTTGTACCTATCCTCGTAAAGTTTATTGATTACAGTTTGTCGGTTGTTGTTCTGTAGTAGGTTGCTTATTTTGTCCTGCATTGTCAAAATGTCTTCATGATCGGGATTTCCCGCGATCCATTTCCAGGCGGATCCTATGAAATTCAATGATCTTTTCTTTATTATTTTCTTAGACTTCAGGCGTCGTAATAAATTTTCGATTTGCCCCATTTCATACTTGAGATAAGGGAATAGAGAATAATCACTGTTGTTGTTGACTATTTTTCCCAATTCATTGATTTTTGTTTCGTATTCGTCCAAGTCAATTACGTGGATTAATTTGAAGTTTCCAGTTTGTATTCGTGCTTGTCCAGTGTGGATGGGTACTAATTGTGACTTGGAGAAGTCCAAAATTTGTATGTCTCCGGTAATAATCCCAATCGAGATCCTGAAATTTGAAGTTTAGTTCCTTATGTTATTTTTGTGTACAATTTTTCCTGAATCGGTTATAATGATTGTCTCTTTGTCTTCTCTAATTATATCTTTGTAGTCGTTTGAGTCTAGTCGTTTGTTGTGTTTTACGTAGATTTCATCTCCTCTAGTAAGTAGTGTTTCATTTTTGTGTTTGTTTTGTTGTCGTATTTCAAGTCATGTCTCTGTTTTTCTTTCAGTCTATCAATATTTTGCAGTCTTAGTTTTTCCAATTCGTCGGGGTCAACATTGGGTGTGTGTCCATGGAGAGGTTCTATTGGTTTTTTCTTTGTAACGGAATGAATAGTGAAATTGTATTCATTCACAACCCGTTCCAGCAATTCTTCAAAGATCTTTTTTTGCCCATCCGATTTGAGGCATCTCATTACTTCACTTAAGGAATCAATGGAATCGTTCGGTTTGTCCGTTCACCTCGCTCCTATATGGCGGGGTGCGATATACCTTGATTTTGAGATCGTTTTCGAGCATAGACATAATGGAGGCAGATTGCAGGGCCTTTTGATTATCAATTACGATCATTTTAGGAATACCAAAATAGAACAAGATGTCTTGTAAAGGTTGTAACGGCCGCGAACAAACCTCGGGTAGGGTGTCTGTCGGTCTGTATCAACCGCAAGCGGCGGAATAACGGCATGCCGTTAGACAAAATCATGCGATTTTGTGGTACCGCTAATAAATCGCATGATCTTGCGGTATATGTTTATTTTATTCTTTTATGTTTTCCTTGCTTACAAGTACAGGCAAAAATCGTATGATTTTGCGGTATCTTTGCTTGCTTTTGCAAGTACAGGCAGAATCGTATGATTTTGCGGTACTCCCTTTTTTTTCCTTTTGCTCTTGCGAGCATAGGCAAAATCGTATGATTTTGCGGGATCTATGCTTGCTCTTGTGAGAGTAGCGGCAAGCCGTTATAGAGAGAGCAACAGGAAGAAGAAGAGGGAAATTGAGTAAGAAGGAGAAGTCTGTCTGCGTTTTAAAATTTAAGTCAGAGGGGATAGTTTTAAGTTGAGTTGAGTTCTAGGCAGTGGGGATCTGAGAGTTGAAGGGTGAACGTCAATAAGTGCTCTTGCTATTGTTTTTTTGATTATATATTACCTAAAAAAAAAAAAAAAACTTAACCTGACAGACATTAAATAGAATTGTGAGTAAATCGTGTAACAACGCGTACAAACATTCAGTTTGCAACAACTTACGGGTTAAACAAAAATCTCTACCTCTGTAAATATTGATGAAAAGGAAACAAGCAAAAATTTATTTAAAAATTTTCAAATTTATTGTGTAATGTTCTCGGGCTACGATTAGAAGAGAAAAACAAAAATCAATTACTTAGTCAATTCTTATATATGTGTGCACATGTAAGTGCGTGAAGCTATAAACGCAATTGATGGCATAAAAATTGAAATTTTCTTCGTTTCTTTGATATATAAATAATAGAAATTGTTTATTTAATTTGCCTGCAATTTTATCCAATATTCATTCATACATAAAGAGCAGCTAGCTACATAGGCTAATTAAAATTTAAACGCACAAAATCTTTCCAAAGGCTTTTCCTCAAAGAGAACAAAAGCAAAATAGAATCGTTGTGCAATCGAGATCAATCGAGAAATATGAATAGACAAAAGACCACATAAGGCAGCTTGAAACTGTTCGTTAGCGTTGGTCCTAAAGTCGCGTTCGAGCGAAATCCAAGTATACGTTTAATGAAGGAAAATATTCTAATTTTATATTGAGTGACATTTAACAGAAAAATTCATCCAAATTCTGGATCTGATAATAATAACGAAAGTCGTGTACTTGTCACATTTTGATAATCAATTCAATAATTTTTTTATTTGAATATCAAAAAAAGAAAAAAAAGGAAAAGGAAGACATAAAAGAAAAATTCTATAATAGTTTTTTTTGTTCATAAAACGAGGAAGAAGAAAAATAAAGCGGAATAAAGAAAAAAAAGAATTGATAATTAAATCTCAAAAGACAAAAACTACATAAGGCAAACAAATAAGAAAAACGCAGTACAAAGTCAGAATATTGTGTGTTTTTAATTCTTAAGCGGTAAAATTGCCTACAACAATAACGAAGTGAAGAGTTGAGTGTGTTAGTAGAATGTACCAAGCAAAGCGCATCGCGTTCGTGTAGGAACGCATTATGTTAAAATAGCAATGAGGTGCACAAAAAAGATCACCGAGTTAGGAGATGTCGCAAGATTGTGTCTTGCATATCGGAATATTTTATCTAATTTAACTATTAAAAATTAACAAGAAGAATGAAATAAACTTTGATTTAATTTATCATAAAAGAGATGTGAAAATTAATATGAGAGGAATCTGTCTGCGTTCCTGTATTTAAACATCCCTAAATCTAAAGCACTAAAAGCAATTATTTAAGAAATAAGTTAATTACAAATTTTGTGAAAATCGTATAATATAATAAAAGAAAAAAAAACATAATCGAAGTTTATCTTAAAATTAGCATTCGTTAAAAAGAAGACGGCTTGACATAAAGTAAAAGAAAAGAAAAAATTTTGAATAATTAAATAAACTTTTAGTCCAAATATAGTAAAAATCGAATCAATCCCTCCTAGGCCTTTTTCCATTTTAAAACAAAAAAAAAAACAAGAGGAAAAAAATTTATAAAAAATTTTTGGAAACTACAACAAAAACAACGATATCGCAACCATAAACAACAAATTATTTTAAAACCGAAACGAAAAAAAAAAAGGAACACTTTTTAAATATCCTTCAAATTATAAAACGTTTTCTACTATTGTTGCTATACTAGCACATACTACAAACAATAGTTCCACTGATCAGAAGAGCAAATTGTTTAAAAGGTTATAACCAAAGCAGAAAGGAAAGCAACGCATTAAAAAAATAGCAAGTGTTCTTAGGTACCGCTACAATAACTGTTTTGAGTGCTACAACTGGTGCTCTGGCTCTAGGCATACATCTAGCGCCAGAAAAACGTCAGACACTTTTGAGAAGTGAGCCGGAACATCCTGCGTCCTGGAGTTGAAGATTGCCGACGTAGCAGCTACCGCGGCCGACACTGCACCGACGCCGATGCTTGTACTGTAAGTTACTTTTAGGCTATTTAATTTTGTTGTTCCCAATGAGTGGCTAAGCGCGAGCTGCCACCGCTGTGACTGAGACGTAGGGGCGTGCATATGGTGGCTATGTAGGGCCGACGCTAGACGATGACCGACTGACTCACTGGTGACAGACGGACAGCAGACAACCGACCGGACCTTTTCGTTCTTTTAGTTTATTTTTATTTTTCTTTGTCAGGAGGCTCCGAGAGCCAAACCCCAGGTCAAAAAAAAAAAAAAATATATATATATATATTTATATGCTCTACCGGCCGAAAGGGGCTAAGACCGTGACAAGGTCTCTTGAGATGTTCAACAACACATATCGATGTGTAGGGTACGGCCCGTAGGAATTGGAATAGGTGCAGGTTGAATCTCTATATTGTTGGGATGGCGACCATATTTATTTTCCTTACATGTTTTGCAGTTGGTAACTATTTTCTTGATTTTGGCTGACATGTTCTCGAAAAAATTTTGCTGCAGGATCTGTAGGCGAGTTTCTTTAGCGTTTCTATGGACTCTCCCATCCTGACAACCTATTTCTGTCTGCTGTTCTTCGATTTCTATATTCTTTACTATGGTTTGTGAGAATCGTGTGCGGTAATCTTTAAAATGCTGTGGGTGGAAACTTTGCATTATCCCCATAATTGGTTCTGAAGTGCACAATTCCTTGAGTTCCTTCTGGATTATCGTATGTCTTAAAAAATTTTTAAAGATGATTTCTAACTCGTAGTTGTGTTGATAGCTGTGCTTAATAATTAACTGATTACGGAACACGTTTACAGGCACTTCCACTGATGGAATTAAGTGCTGTCCTGAGCTTTCGTCGCTGTGGACTGTACCAGTTAAGCAGTTTATTTCCTTGGTCGTTGGTGGTTTGGACAGCCAGTCGGCTACGATCTTTTCTCTGCCGGGTTCGTATTCCAACTTGTAGTCATACTTTTGTGTTTCTGTTACTCAGAGCATAAGTGAGTGGTTGATGATCTGCACAAATGTTGACCTTCCCTGATCCGTATAGGTAATTGCGCAGCGCTTTTAACGACCATATTATGGCTATCATTTCTTTCTCGTTTGTGGCGTAGGCCTCTTCAGTCTCACTCGGAGTACGAAATAAGAATGTAATTGGTCTCCTATCCTAGGATAAAACTGCTCCTATGGCGAAGTTGGATGCGTCGGTTGTAAGCTCGAAGGGTTTATCGAAGTTGGGATGAGTCGATATGACTCCATTCGAGCTTAGAGAATTCTTTAGGTGATTGAAGGACTCCACCTCTTTTTCCCCTAACCTTATTAATTTTTTCTTAGAGGCTTGTTTGGACACGCGTCCATCCTCCCCTCTTAAAAGGCTTGTCAGGGGCTTGGCGAAAGTCCTTAATGAACCTCCTATAGTAGCCTACCATTCCAAGGAATGATCGTAGATCTTTGAGTGTTTTAGGTGGCGGGAAGTCCACGATTGCTTGGATTTTGTTGAGATTGGGTTTAATTCCTTTTGTTCCTACTATAAAACCTAAAAATTCGACTTCATCTTTTAAGAATTCGCATTTGTCGAACTAAACTTTCACATTGGCTTTCTCTAAGGTTTCAAAGACTTCTTTTAAGTTGTTGAAGTGGTCATTTTCGTCTTTTCCAAATATGATCACGTCATCGATATAGACGTAGTACTGCTTCCCGATGTGTTCTGTCAGAACATCGTCGAGAGTTTTTGGAATATTAAAGGGGCATTTTTTAATCCAAATGCCAGTCGGACGAACTCATATTTGCCGTTGTTGGCTGAGAAGGCAGTTTTTTGAATGTCAGATTCCTCGAGCGGTATCTGGTGAAAACCATTTTTAAGGTTGACTATGGAAAAAAATTTGTTTCTGCCAAGATTAGCTAGTACCTCATTTATTTCCGGAATTGGGTATTTATCGAATATAGTGAATTCGTTTAGTAGTCCACTACCATTCTGTACTTTTTCTGACCAAAAGAGTCCATTTTTTTGGTACAATCCACACAGGTGAGTTGTAAGGAGACTTTGAAAGTCTAATTATGTTATCTTGTAATAGTTCTTTTATTTGGTTGTCTACTTCTTCTTTCAAAGCCATCGGATATGAATAGCTTCTAGAGTAAATTGGTTGATCGGACGTTGTCCGGATTCGGGCTAAAACATTTGTTGCGAAGTTCAGTTTTTTATTGGGGTCTGCAAATAAGAGTAGGCAGCTTCGGAGTAGTACTCGTAATCGATTGTTTTGTTTTTCGGACAAATGTGAGGTGCGTAGTTTTATACTATTGATGTAGCTTTTTATGTACTGCTTTAGGGGAATTTTCACGTTTGGGTCTATTGTCATGAAATCAAGGTTGGTGTGGATGACTGCATTGAGTTCTCTCAGTGTATCGTTGCCGATAATGCCATCGAAAGAGGCTTGGTAAAATGAAAAATTTTACCTTACTACTGTTTGGGAATAGTTGCACGTGGGAATGATGCGTTATTTTTATGTTTCCGCAAACGGAACTGGCTAACAAGGATTTTTCGTTTGTAATAGGCTTTCCTTATGTGTTTGGGTTGAACGTAATTTTTGTTCGACCCTGTGTCTATTAAAAATTTTAAATTATCTCCACCGCTAATTTTATGTTCAAAATAAGGAAGATTGCCTTAATCTAAAAAGTGAATGTCTTCGAGCTGTTCTATTTGCTCATACTTCGGGACTTCAATTGGTTCCATTTTTCGTTAAATGTTTCATCTGTTTCATTGTCCTCTTCACACGTTATGTTGTAGGACCTTTGATGTTTGGGAGGCATTCCCTGAAATTGTTGTGAAGGTGCGCGTTTCTGTGCATATGTTTGGATTTGGTTCGGATGGTTTGCGTAATTTATGTGTTTGGTCTGCGTGCTCCTGGTTCATCACGTCGTTGTGTTTTTGGGGGCACTGCTGGTTGGTATTGAGGACTTCGTTGGAATGTACATCCTTAAGTGATTGATCCCTTGTTGATATTGTCTGTCAAATGTTGGAGGTAATCTTGGATACTGTCTTTGAAAAGTTGGAGGTGGTTTCTGCTGATTGTTGAACGGTTTCCTGACTTCTGGGATGGGCTGATAATTTCTTACTTGCAGTAAGGGTGGAGCTATGTTTCTTCGAATTGTGGGTTTGCTAGTGTTGACATATTGCGTCCTGTAATTCACCTTCTGAAGCTTTAAGCATAAGTGTAATGCTTGTGGAAAATCTGTTGGTTCCCTCATGCTGAGTAAGCGAGGTAAATCGCCTGTAAGTCCTCTAATAAATGTATCCAGCGCGGTATGCCTGAGTCATGTTATTTAATGACTCACCCCATGTACCCATGTTCATAAAAAAAAGTTTATTTAAAATTAAAGAAAGATGTTGATAGACATCTTGATAAAATTCCTGAACGCTTTTATTCCCTTGGATTAGCGTTGTCATCTGATACTCAAGTGTTCCCAAATCCCTCTTGTCCGCGTAGTGCGTGGTTAAGCACTTTGATATTTTATTCTAGTTTAATGGTGTATTGCACGATTCAAGAGCTATATCCGCTTGTCCTACTATTTTGTTTCCCACTACGTTCAATATGCCATAGTATTTAGGGCTGTCTCTCAAATGGTCTAAATCCCTAATATCTTGTCAATACTTTTTTCCATCAGCTAAATTTCTCTGGTTTTCCCGAAAATTCCCTCAGGCTTTTGACTACGTCTAGCATTGACTTACGTTCGGTTAAATTAACTTCCGTTGAAGTATCAATTGCTTGGCCAGTGTTGTCGTCTTCTAAGTCTGGATATATTATTTCCTGAAGTAC